TGGAGACGGAAAGCGAAAAATGTTATATGGAAAATAGGCATTTGACAAAACCTGAATTATAAAGTCCCCTTTGTAGTGTTTGAAGATGTAGATTCTCAGGAGGAGAAGATACATGTTTGGTCCAGCTTAATGAATTACCTATAGAATTTGTGATATGCTTTCTTTTATATACGGTATATGAGAAAGAATATCCTGGTACTGCGTGGTAAATTGGTCAGATTAAAGGTTGTGTACATAACATAACATACAGTAACATATCAAGTTGCCTTTACAGTAGTGCAAGACAATATTTTTGACTTGCAAGGTTTATTATAAACGACTCGAAAGCTTTTTTTTTTAATTCCTTAAAGCTATTAATTTTAATTAGGGAATTTTTTCAAGTGTAAGCCATCGTAGTATTTAAGACAATAATATTTGTAAGAGTTTCCCAGCTCAAGGGTGCGAGTTGGATGCAATCACCTAACTTTATCTCCAGATCTCTCCTAACTGATCCCTGTGTTACTGATATTTGAGTAGTTTGCCAACACCAATTTTATGGTTCTCATTTAGATATATTAAAACTACAGCTAATGTTCAATCTTAAATGTTTTCAGCAATAATGTATTGATCATAGTATATTACAAAGGAAGATTGTGCGTTCTAGTTTTTCCAGGGATTTTGATGCTCTTCAAAGCTGTCAGATTTGTTTTGTAATATGTTGATCTATATTGTAAGAATGGGTACTTTGATTTGCTGTTGAAATTCTGAAGTAAAAAAAAAATACAGATGCATTTTGTATGTTATTAAAAGATGGTCTAATGACATTTGTTATCGGGAATGGGTGCTGTATTTACACGGATTATTATATAGGGGTGATCTGCACTCTGCCACAAATACCTTCACACAATGGAGATTGCAATAGAAACTATACAATTGGCGTTGACTGGCAGAATGAGAAACAAAACTACACAGCATACACACTGACGAAACATACAACTTACAAAAGCATAGCATATTCAACAGCAATATAAATATATATATTTTAACTTACACTCATGTAGTTATATTTTTATAGTTTATATTTACATAGGTAAAAGTACCTTCAGGGTTACTACAATTATACTAGCTTCAATGTGATCTAGAGGGCGTTTTGGAGACAAAGATAGTAAAAAAAATAGCATAACAAATTATTGCTTTTTTTCTCACTTCAATAATTATTAATCACCATATAAGACGAATGTATATTTATATTATGTTTATTAAACTACTTTATTTTAATGATTTTTCATTTCAGTACCAGCATAACCACATTCCAATGGTTGTATAGACAACGTAGTAACTTTATATTCTAACCATATATTCCTGTGTGGAAAAAATGGTTAAATGGTAATATAATTTGTTTGATTTGATTTGTTTTCAAATAAACCACACCAAAAATAGTGTGGTATTCTTGAATGTCTATATTGTTACGATTGTTGCAAAACACACGTAGAAGTTGTACATACCTCAAAGTCAATGTTAAGAGTGTTTTAATACCAAACACAAATAGCTAGAACCATGACCTACTCATTTGCCATCCTAAGAACAAATATAGATATAATGAATGTATATGATGTTTTCATAAATAGCCCGAATAAATATCCTATTCGAACAGATCGTGTGATAAAGTACAACCCACCAATTAAATTTGTTGCAGCCCTGTCTATACCTACTCACTGTTGACTTTGATTGTGTGTGTTTTTAATTTAATGATCGTTGTCTGATATATTTTATCAACTGCAAGCTAATTATGTCTCTTGACACGTAACATACTTGCATAATGTCTTTGGAAATGGACGTTGATGTTTGTATATACTTTACTCATTGATATGTATTGTATATTGCTTAACTATTGTTTGTCAATTACTATATTATTTTGTGTTTTTATATGGATCATGCTCGATGTCGTATAGATAGAATATAATGCTAATGGGTTAAATTAATAGTACTAAAATTTACCTGATGGAAATCGCACCCCCTGTCTCTTTTCTGACTCTATAATTAGAAAATATGCACCAATCATTAGATAGGATAGACAGTTGTTATTTGAACAACCCTCGCTATATGTTTTAAACGACAGGAGCATTGCATGTTTTCTGTAATTATGTTGATATCGTGGATAATTGCAATAAGATATAGCATGACAGTAGTGCGGATTTATGCTTCCATTGTCCGCGTATATTAATCAAAGCATGAATCATCGCTACTTAATTGTTATAGGCGCGTGAATAAGAGAACCAATGTACGGTGAACTAATAATCATATTTTTCAAATAATTTGCATTAACTGAATAATGAGTTAGCTGCAGTGCAACCAGTACAGGTGCTGATTGTATGAACAAATAAACGCGTAAATAGAGAACAGTATGAAATGACAACATTGAATTACCTTGGTACAAAGTCATTTATGGAGAAGAAGGTGGAAGAAAGTGCGAAGAATACATCGAGGACATTTCCTCATAAGCAACACAAAATAAAACACATGAGAATTCGTTTTAAAACCGTTTTAAATTGTCTATGATGATTCTTTCCCAGCTGTTTCCTTGACAAGTAGGCCAATATTCGTAATGATTGGATTTGTATGAAGCA